GAACAGCCGAGTGTGAGGACGGTCCCGGAACAGCCGAGTGTGAGGACGGTCCCGGAACAGCTGATGTCGTCTCCTCAGAGCTGTGGCACAGTGAACACACTGGATCTACCGTACTCAGATATTATACGATTGACAGGACAGCACTTATGCAGACTCTTTAGGGACACTTCTTGAATCTTATTAGTTATGAAATATTTTCTAGGCAGCAGCCAAACATTTTCCAACAAATATCATTAAATGAATTATCCCAGAAGAATACAGAAGCAGGTTTACTGATACAACAAAAAAGGTTGAATCATGTCATCTGGACTTCGTTTTTTTTGTTAAAAAAGAAACGTTTCGCCCCTCATCCAAGAGGCTTCGTCAGTCTGAGGCCTAGCCATCTGGTATTACCCAGAAGCCACCCTGACTCTTGTGTTTCAAGCCTGCCTCAGATACCCCTGAAGTCTGGCCTTTTCACTAATGGTTTCAAAAACACAAAGTTTGTTTTCTCAGTCATCCAGGTATATAACAACAAAAAAGGTTGAATCATGTCATCTGGACTTCGTTTTTTTTGTTATATACCTGGATGACTGAGAAAACAAACTTTGTGTTTACTGATACAGTTTCTAATTATTAATTCTCTAATACATTTGTTTGTTTTTTCGCTTCAAAATGGGTCAGAGTTGCCGATGAATAATTCTTAATTTAAGTAGTCCGTGTTATTTTGTACAGAGTTTGACGTCAGTATTTTCACACCAGATGGAACGGCATCAAACACAATTACAAATTCTCTCGGCAGCACTGGAAAATGATACGTAGTTAAAAATTCACTATAAGAGCAAGTGTTGCCTCTTTGTTGAATAACTGATGTACACGAACGATGCTCTGTCAAACCATTTAAAAAACATGGATTTGTGTTTAAAACAGATGTCTTTGTTGTTCCAGATATAATATTTGTGTGGGAGAAATTGTTTGTGAACCAAAGTCCAACATAAAAGCAGCTGTTTGTGGAAATTAGAGAGTTTAACCAGGATTTTCTCCATGCTATAGTTGCACCTTAAAATAAAAGATAAACCACCCAATGCTTCAAATACATGTGTCGAAATAAAGTTCCATAAAGAGTTTGGATTTAGGAGATCTCTTTTGATCCACTTGATTTTAAAGGAAGAGTTTAGAGTCTGTAAGTCTAGTACATTAAACCCACCAGAGCACAGATTATTTATCATTACATTTTTCCAGATTAGATGAACTTTTTTCTTCCAAATAAAATCAAATAAAGTTTTGTCCACTTTTGAAATGATATCCTTGGAAACCTCAAGGGCAGAAGTCGCAGACGCCAAACTGGAAAGACCTTCAGCCTTAGAGAGTGAGACACGACCGGAGATGGATGAATCTCTCTGGACCCATAAATTGAATTTCTTTTGGATTACGTAACAAGGGGATTGAAGTTTTCACCTAATCTTTGGTCCTCTTCTTTTATCATATAAATACCAAGATATTTAACTTTGTGTTTTACTGGAATTCCTGAGATCTCTGTGTCATGACAAGTTTTAACAGGAAGTAACTCACATTTAAATTAAGATTGAGACCTGAAGAGAATTCACCAGCAGCTCAACAGCACATTTACCTGAGAGCAATCTTTAAGAGATAATGTTGTCATCTG